ATCAGCGGTAAATCTCCATCACCTGCGGGCTTTCACATGGAGCAGCATTAACTACACAGAGCCGTTGTTCACCGACAAGCTGCGCAAAATATGATCGTGGTTTTGCGCAGCTTGTCAGTGAACAACGGCTCTGTGTAGTTAATGTAAAATATCGCATGCGATTTATCGTGCAGCCCTAATCGAAAGACAGTAAGTTCCCCTCAGACATACATTCATATAAACTCCTACCCCTAATTGAATCGCGATTTGTTTAGCATCTCAACCGATTTGAATCGTCACATATTTAAATCGATTTTCAACCGGCTCGAGGTTAATCGTTACATCCCTACATAAATATGAACTTTCACTTAATAAGGCATAATACTCCATGAAATCCACTTTGCGATGCACCCCATGTTTAATGTTGTCCACTTTGTGAACATTGAAATATATTCTGCAGTTTTATAGTAACAGATATAGACGGCAAAATCATCATGCAGACAGGAGGTCACGGAGGTTGATAAAGCAATCGATCACTTCCACAATAGAGCACGAGGCTTGGGATTAATGAAGGCTTCTATGCCCTTTGTAATTCCTTTGCTCAGTATTCTGCGGACTCTGTAATGGATTCCAATTTGCTCTTTTTGTCACAGAGAATAATTTACATCCCGCAATGCAGTGTTGCAATCTGGAGCACATGTACCACTCTGGATGGCTCTCATTAGGGCTAATAATCACACCCATGACTGTCCAACTGGTGCATAAAATTCTCTCTGGCGATGACGACGTCTTGAAGTACACTGCATTGGAAATGTATTAAGTGTCGTCAGCGATTTGAGCGCTGACAATTGAAATAGCAGTTATGTGTAGATAGCAGCTGTAGTGCAGAGAAACGACTTTGAGATAAATTAATTGAAATTTATATTTGAGGTGCTCACCTCATGAAGTCTCAAAGAAAATATGCACGATATTGTCTGTGATAGAGCTGTTATGATCACGAAATTTTGGCTTATGATTAATTGTCATGGAAATAATTGCTATTAACTTTTTTTTTATTTGGAGTCAGATAATTTAATTTTTTAATCCTTATATTAATTTCAATAATTGAATGCATGATTTCCTTCTTAGCTTTGTTAATAGGTATTGCAGAGTTGTAGAGTGACATTAATAGGGCTGCAACAACTAATCGATAAAATCGATTATTATCGATAATGAAAATAATCGACAACGATTCTCATTATCGATTAGTCGGGTCTGCCCACGGTGCACGTCCAACTTCAGCCGGTCACGTCAAATTACAGCACTGAATAGCACATTACGGACAAAATGCATCTAAAAATAGTGGAGGAAACAGAATGAGATGCTGCAGGAGAAGTGCGTGAAGCAAGCTGCCCAAAACATGAGAATCTTTATTTTGAGCTTTAAACTAACGTAATGCATTAGCGTAATGTCTTGCTGTCAGACGCGTGTGTGTCCTCCTCAGCGCAAAAACCTTCCGTTTACGGTCACATCCACAGAGATTTAAACTATATTCACTATACACAGTGCTTAACACATTTATGTAAGGTTTTTAACTAATTATGCACGGTTTGTGCCACTGCTGCTCTAAACTAACAGCACTGGTGATTACCAAAATCATTTTCTAGCTTTCTGTATTAGTTAGTCCTCCAATCTGTGTAAGCTCTGTAGTAACAGTAGTAGGCTATTTCTAATGCTATAATATGATTATTGCTGTTATCTATGAAAGAAAGGCAGAAAAAATAGCCAAGCACTTTATAGTGTTTTTCCAGATGTCCAATTATAGTCAGAAAGTACCTAAACAATGCCAGCAAGAATTCAAGCTGTTATGAAAGATTTTTGTTATTATGTGAATAAATACTATTTGTTTCAGTTTGTTATTTGCCCAATAAATGACTATAACATTTTTAGATTTAAACCGTTTTTTGACAGATTCCTAAAATAATTGTGTTTTCTCTTTATTATGACAGGTGGTCTAATAAATTAAGCACTGTATGTTTTCATAGCATGCAGTTGGCATGGTTGTTTGAAGGACATTGGGCAGAATGTGGAATGGTGTGTTTTTGTCAATAAAATAAAAAAAGAAAATTGTTTGTTTTTAATCAGATTAATCGAAAAAATAATCGACCAACTAATCGATTATCAAAATAATCGTTAGTTGCAGCCCTACATTTTACACTTGAAGTGTTGTTGACTCTTGTGATAAATTACTTGCATCTCATTTGCAATTCGCTTCGGATAAAATGTAATGTGGGAAAATAATAAAAAATGCTGCAGCATCTATGTTCATGTATCGTTCTCTGATGAACCTGGCACTGGATATTTTGAATACTTTGTTTAATTCGGATAAAAGCGTCTGCTAAATGCATAAATGCGAAGGTTGTCTAACGAGCTGATGTTTTGTGCTGTAGATGATGGCGTCCTCTAAGATGAAGCTACGTGTGAGGAAGAGAGACAGCGCTGGGAAATCTTCTCAGCGTTTATTGGCCAACGCGTCGCCCGATTCCAAATGCCCCATCTGCCTCGACGGCTTCAATAACGTGGCGTCGCTGGACCGTTGCCTGCACCAGTTCTGTTTCCGCTGCATCCACGAGTGGTCCAAGAACAAAGCCGAGTGTCCGCTCTGTAAGCAGCCCTTCCACTCCATATTCCACTCTGTCAAAGGGGAAAACGACTTTAAGGAGTTCGTGCTGCGTCCGCCGGAGAATGGAGCACCTGCGAACGCCGATCCGCCTGAGCGTGTGCTCCGCCCCCGAGTTCTCCGAGGCCGGGAGAGGCGGAGCCACAGAGCGCAAAACCCCGCCCCTTCCTCCTCCCCTCCGCAAGAGGATGACGTTATGTTCGACGGCCTGACGGACGCAGCGGCGCTCGCAGAGAACCAAGACGTGCAGCAGATGGTGCTGCGATTAACAGCACGCAGACATGGGAGTGGCGAGGGGCGGAGCTTGCGGCGTTTGCGCGACCAAGATGTTGTGGCGTTCCGACGCGCGCTTTATAGGACCGGCGTGCGAGTGCGCAGCTCGAGGGACGCTGGCAGGCAGAGGGACATTTCCGCCGTGTTCTTGAGACAAAATCCCGGCTGTTTGCGACGGCTATTGCCTTGGCTGCAGCGCGAGCTCATGGTGCTATACGGTTCGCACGGCTCGCTGGTGAACATCGTGCAGAACATCATCATCTCACGCATCATGAACTACAACATGGAGGACTCGGCCATCCGGGACGAGCTCCGCCCCTTCCTGCTGGCGCGCACCGACCACTTCCTGCACGAGCTGGTGAGCTTCGCCCGCTCCACCCTCAACATGGAGGTGTACGACCAGCAGGCTGTTTACGACTGTCCCGCTCCCAGCTACGAGGAGGGCAGCAGCTCGGACCTTTCTGTTATCGCCATCTCCGAGGTGAGACTCTCAAACATTACGTTTTGTGAATTAGTTTCTGAGTTTACTTTCCTTCCTGTATGACTTTGTTCTGTTTTGCTAAATGCTTTCATTTTTAGGGTCATTCCATCTCAAGTGGTCCAAAAAGTTAGTAGCTTGGGCATTCTTTTTTATTACCTTGATTAGGGCCCTGTTAACAGGGTTCCTAAGGGGTTTGGAAAAAGTATGGTATTTTTCAGGTCTAGAAGCGTATGGAAAAATGAAAGCAGAGTATGGAAAGATATTTGTGTTTCCAGACTTTTGTCGCTATTTAGTGTTTTAAAATAGAAAATTAAGAATTTAATGAAAATAAATGTATTGTACAAGATGGGAGATTTCATGGCAGCTGTTTAGTGATTCTTTAGTTATTGTCAAATATGCACTTTGCAAAATGCAGGTTATAAGCATTTTGGGTTTCTTCTCACAATATTCTTAGCACCGTATTACATAGCCTCAAGGACCTTTGCAAAAAAAAAAATATATATTACAGACTTTTATCTGCGCACGAAAAACCATTAAACTTAGCAAAAAAAAAATAGTCAAGCTCTCAGATACCCAATTACAGTCAAAAAGTACCTAAGCAATGCCAGCAAGAATGCAAGCTGTTATGGAAGGCATAGGAGGACATTCTTGTTAATATGTGAATAAATACTAGCCTACTTAGTTTGATATTTGCCCAATAAATGACAATAACATTTTTAGATTTAAACAATTTTTTTGACAGATTCCTAAAATATTTGTGTTTTATCTTTATTATGATGTGTGTCTAATAAATTGTTAAGCACTATTTTCATAGCATTCAGTTGACACGTTTGTTTAAAGGACATTGGGCAGAATGTGGAAGTGTTTTTTGTCAAAAAAAATGAGAAGATCCGATTAATCGATTAATCGGGAAAATAACCGGTCAACTAATCGATTATCAAAATAATCGTTAGTTGCAGCCCTAGACATTAATATGAATTTAAATGTTAACTTTTTGGTTCAGTTCAGTCTGAGTTCACTTCATATTCATACACTTTTTTTGGTAAACCAGTATAAATGCTATTGTATTATAATATCATAATTTACCTTTTTGTTTGGAGTGTTTTTTATATACCCTTTCTTGGGTGGCTGTGTGTGTTATTGTAATTAAAGTTGTGCAAACAATTTAGATCAGAAATAATTATGACAGTCTAGCTATATAGTTCTTATATGTTGCTTGGTATGTTGATCATAGACTTTAGCATGGATGTGTGATCACTGCAGTGCTATTATCTGGAGTTAAAATCATTGTCATGAACCAGCCATGATGGAAATGTGTTTTCTTAGTCTTATGGGTTATGACAAGTGCCTGTCAAAGATAGTTCATGTGAGGATATCATGTGAGGGTCATAGCCTGTCTAACAGCAGCTCTCACAGAGCTGATTGCTCATGTCTCTTTTTGTAACATTTGATTTTTTTAATTCGTTGGTTTCAAAGACCTGTTTTAAAGCCTCTGATCTTTTGCGTTCAGACACATCAGAGGCTATATAGTCTTAATCTTTCCCAATACAATTATTATTTTTTTGCATGAACCACAGAGGACTATTTTGAGCTTTTTAAGTTGATTTTCATCCACTGCACTTTTTAAGTTTTAATTTCATCTTTATACATAAGATAGATTGCGATATGGCTACTTTTAAGCATGTACATCACCTGTGCTGAACCAATTAGTCATGTCAGAGGTGCCTCCATAAATATTTAAATGAATAATTAACCCAAAAATTAAAATTTCATTCAAATGATTAAAAAAAAAACATGTTTTTATTTTTCTTTGCCTTTTTTGGGGAGCTTAACAGTGTAAGTCCCTGTCCATTTTCATTGAAGACAGTCAATCAATCAGTCAATCAATCAATCAATCAATCAATCACTGCTCCCGTATTGACTTAATTTTCCAGTAAGTGACATCAGAAAATGGAACAAACATCAGTATATTTTAGAAGTGGATTTTGTAAAGTCTTGGATGCTTTGTGGTCATAGTTGATTTCTCACTCTTCTTTTGATTAAAATTATGTAAATCTCTGTTATCACTACAATTGATCAAAAAATATCAATGAAATTCATATTAACACTCATACAAGCTAACTCTGAATCCCACACTGAACAACCTTCATCCTATTAGGCATTCTGTTAATTTTCTTGCTGGTGTGTAAATAAATTGTAATGAAAAATTTAAGTGGTTGAGCTCAACCAAAGCATATCTTGAAAAATCTTGTTTACTATTTATACAAATATAAAAAAATACAACACAAGCATATTCTGTTTTTTAAAAGTTTACAGACCTCAAAATTACCTGCATTATAGGAATTTCCCATCTGCACATTTAAGTCCCTGAAGTGTAAATGATTCATGTATAAATTAATCATCTCAACATTATTAATCTCTGAACATATTTTCATGAGCGTGGAGGACAGAAAGATTAATTTATTCTCCGATCATATAATGGGCGAGAGGGGTTCCTCTGATGGTTTGAAATATTAGGCTACACACTGGGAAACTGGGAAACATTGCCAGCTTTGTGCTCTACAGTGTTGCCAGGTCTGCGGTTTTCCCGTGGAATTGGGCTACGTTAACACTGTTGCCACTGGTTGTTTTTAATGTCTGTGGGTTGAAGTGACCCAAATAATGTGATATTTTGCCCCTGGGATGCAAATTTTACCAGGGGAACCCTGCCAAAAAATAAAAAGTGCATTTTACACCCCGGAACGCGATTTGTACCAGTGGAACCCCCCTGAAACACATTTGGGCTAGTTTTGGACTAGTTTTGAGTAGGTTTTGTTGTGAAAACCTGGCAAACTTGGTGCTCTGTCTGAATGTGGCACAGTTTTCAGACAGGAAGTGTAAGCACTGGCTCAGTCCTCTCTTGACAGCTCTATCTCTCCGGCAGAGGAGAAGGACCGGGAATATCTGCTTGCTGGATAACAGCACATTCTGACTGCCACTGAATCCAATCTGTGCACCTGCAGCTCTCTAAACCAACAGCTTGAGCTGGATGTCATCTGTGTGTTGAACTGGGTCAGAACAAGTCTAGTGCAGAACTTCGTGTTTTCCTCCATTTCCAGGGGCGTACATGAGCCCCAGAGAGATAAATTATGCAGAGGGTCATTTCAGAAGAGAAGTCATTCTTCTTTCAGAGGGCAGTCTGTTTGTGGAAAATGGTTTGGTGGATTGCTACATCAGCAGCTAACCAGCATAAAACACCATGAACTTCAGGTTGGTTTAAACTAGTCTTTCAGTACAGTTGTTTTCCACCTTAATAATTGTGAAAATGGTCTTAAAAGTATTTTTTTAAACAGAACAACTTATTGAACTCTTCATACATGCATGCATTCAATGAAAAACCTTCATTCAGTTAAAAAAAGTTGTTTTATTTATTTATATATTCATTTATGTTTTAGTGGCAAAATTAAGATAGATTGATTGGGGAAAACCATTACATATTTTATTACCAAGATGGCTACTGACTAAACTGGCTGGCATTAAAGAAACTTGTTTCAGTCCATATTTCATGTCTTGTGAGCACGAGAGTGAGCAGTAATCATTCCTTTTTATAAATGTCTCTAGAGACTGACCCTTAGCTACTTTGCCATCCGTTACATGTTTCCAGATAATGAGAAAACGGTCAGGTTAGTGACCCCGCTGCAACTGTTATAATAAGGAATATAATGATAATGTGATAGCAAGATGATCTGCCTTACTCCACAGACGCTGGGAAAATGACATGAACTGGTTAGTTTCAAGACGACGCTCGTGTAGGTTGGAGGGCACTAGAGAAAAACCAGGCTTTCCATAAAAGATTGGAATGATGAGTCACCTTTGCACAACTCTCTGGTATCATCATTTTCAACCTGTGGAGATATTTCTTTTAGTCATAAATATGTATATGTGTGTGGATGATGTATGGTGTTTTTGTGAGTCGACCCAGTGAAGAAGTGTGCCACATAACCATTGGGGCCAGATCAGCAGGACAGCAATAGGTTTGACTGTGCAAGTTTTCTTTCACCTCTGTTTAAAAGGCATGGGAAGTAGTGAACCAAAGCGTGATCATTCTCTGGATCCATCTTGCATGTTTGTTTTGGCATTGAAAATAAGAACTGTGGTTTTTCTGTAAACAAACATTTCCCATATGGGATTAATAAAGAGTTTGTCCATCCATCCGTATCGCAGAAATGTTTGGAAAGAATGATTGACAGATGTATATTCGTCAACCCCCAGTCATCATCTTCACTTTTCCAGTCTCTTCCCTTCTGGCTCAGTTTGTGTTTTTTGAAGTTAAGTGCTATTTCGCTCCACTCTGACTTCAGTCTTGATACAAAATAATGATCTTAAACTACACCGACAATAAACATTTTCAGGCCCTCAGGATGCACCTTCATCCGGCACTCTGAGTGGGCTCGGCGTCCCATTTAATTTTCTATCTGCATCACTGCGGACAGGTTGCAATAATAATCATGATGTCTCTTCTCACATTATTGTGCCAGCACTTGCCAATTATTCTCATCCCGCGGCCCCTTCTTTTCTCTGCCATCGAGTAGGATAAAGCATCTTTGAGGTGTTCATTATTTTTTTTTAATATTTCAGGGGGGCAATTCAGAAAGCTGAGTGTAGTATCAGACACTCAAATCTCTAGTGACTCTCTCGACTTTAAAAAAATCTACACGTACAAAGGCAGCTTCAACTAGTTGAGTCACCCTCACAACCTCAGATAATGTCACTCATGCTAATTGTTGCAGAGTGTATTTTAATCTTTCTTGTTTGTCGGTGCCTGAGATTTTGGCACAGCCATGTTGCAACAGGGCAATCTCAATATGCTTATGTAATGCCAACTTCTGATGACTTCATCATTTATGGCTCTTGTAGCAGTTCTGCATTTCTTTTATAGCTCTTTCCCTCTTTCACTGCTGAATAGAAGAGACAAAACCGAGGTGGAAGAATGAGGTTGCTAATTATTATTCATATTAATTAGTGCCTTTTTAAAAGGGAGATTATAGTAGAATGAGTTGGAATAGTAACGAGAGCTTCCTGTAAGAGAGGGAAAGCTGATAAGGAGCCACATGACTGCAGCAGAGTATAGACATGCAGATATTTTTGGAAC